TTATCTCAACCATGTACCGGTTAAAATCTGAAACCGTATGAGCATAAGCAGCACCTTTCACCAAGTACAAGAGATGTTTCCCTTTATACTTTTTGACAATGTTATCTTGAAGGTGATAATAACATATTCCTCTCACTGCCCAAGGAAACACCTTATCACACGCACTTTTAATGGCCGTATGCCGGTCGGAGACTATCACTAGAGGCTCGTCATCAGATATACAAGTAGCAAATTTTGTGAAAAACCATTCCCAAGAAGGCTCGTCTTCAGCATCTACGATCCCAAAAGCCAATGGAAATATCTGAAAATTCCCATCTTGTGCGGTTGCAACCAACATAGTACCCTCATACTTCCCACTTAGGTGAGTCCCATCCACCACAATGACCCTTCGCTGATACTTAAAACCTTTGATAGAAGCTCCAAAAGACAAAAATAGATACTTAAATCTATCCATAGAATCAAGTTCTAGAGCCGTGACTGAATCGGGATTTGCTAAGGAGATTTGCTCGAGATATGATGGCAGATGCGAATACCCATCTTCTGCTGTTCCTCTCACCAATGTTTGTGCATATAACAGTGCCCTGTATGAAGTGGTGTAATCAAGCTCCATGCCAAATATGTTCTTCATTGCATCTTTGATATGCTGCGGAGTCAACCCATCAATGATTTCAACACGATCAATGAAAAGCCTACCGACATACTTCGGAGTACAGTGTCTCCGCTGAGCGATTCGGTCTCCCACTGAGAATGTATGTGTTTCCACATATTTTGTTACCCAAAACGTGTTTGTACCATGTTTCACACTCGCTCTTATCTTCCATCCACAACCACTAACCCGACATGTTGACACAAGGAGGGTTTCGTTGACTTGTATATTCTGAAGGAGAACTTACGCCTCACTGCTGTCAACCGCAGCTCTGAAAGCAGTGCATCCTTGCTAACAAAACTCTTGTTGACATATATACTGTTACCATTCGATCGTCCTCCTTCAATAACATATGTATCTTTGAAATCTTCAAAAACCACATCACCATCTTCTTCCTCATCCTCATCTCTA